CCGGGATTTCGTTGAACCGAATTTGCACCGCGGCTCGAGCACTTGCCGTGGCTGATTTGAGGTGCCTTCCCTCCTCCAATTTCTGCCTTAGGTCGACCGTCCCTGTAATGGCCTCAATGGTCAGCCTTACTCGGCCAGGGTTGGCCTCGGGCTCCACCTCAAATGGGGGGGGGGCGGCAACTCCCCGCCTTCCTCCGGCGCCTCACTCGGGGGGCGGTCCTCCCGACACTCCTGGCTGTCCTCGCGCGGTGGAGCCGCCTTCTCTTCCTGCGCCACAAAGGTGCGCTGCGCCTTCTCCTCCACTTTCCTTACAAACTCGTTCAGCATTCCCCTGTCCACGAGTCCTTGTATTTCTGACTTGAGCTGGTAGCAGTCAGCCGTGTGGTGCCCCCTCTCGCGGTGAAACTCGCAGTACCTATCCAAATTCTGCTCGTTCGGGCGCCCCCTCATGGGTCCCGGCCACCGGAGGTGGTACCCCTTGTCCCTTGCATACTGCAGGACATTCTTCAAAGAGTCGTTGAGCTCAGTGAAGTTCGAAGCATTCCGGGGTGGGAAGCGCGGCGGCTCTGGACGTCGGGCGCCTTGATTGTAGGTCTGGGCGCCTTGGTTATAAGTCTGACTCACGGGCGGGGCGTGCGGTTGTCGGTGATTTCGCGACGCTTCCTCCTCTCCGGGGCGCATCTCCCTTCGTTCCAACCTTCTCGCGGCCAGCGTCTCCTCGAGCATAATGACCTTCTGCACCCGTCGATCCAAGTCTTCTGTCGACACGACGTCGCGCTTCGAAAGGGCCCGACACAGCTCCTCGCTGTTAGTGCACTCATCCAAGCAGCACCCCAGGACCGGCGGCTTAACGTCCTTGACCGCCATCGCGACCGACATCCATCTTTCATAGAAGTCCCGCAGCGGCTCCCCCTTGCGCTGCCGAATCTTGAAAAGTGCGCTTACTGTGAGGCTCCTGCGCTTCCGGCTAGCGAACTTTGAGAGGAACATGGCCGCGAATTGCTCAAAGCTATCGATCCTTCCTTCCTCGATCTGGTGGTACCAGTCCAGAACCACGCCCACAAAGGTCGACGGGAAAGCGCGGCACAGCGTAGCGTCCGAGCTATTGTACAGCTGCATTTTGGTGAAGTAGTTGTTCAGGTGATCCTCCGGATCCGACGTGCCGTCGTAGCTGGGAAGCGCCGGGATGACCGAGTTAGCTTGCTCCGCCAAGATGCTTCGTGCGAGTGGCTGCCTCACGCCCCACGGGCGCCCCATTCGCCTAGGCGCCCACCCGGCAGGCTCTTCCTGATCAGGCGCTCCAAGGCGCGCCCACTGTCCGACCTCCTCCGTGCGCCTCATTGCGCTTGACACCCCTTCTTCCTCCTCGTCTCTCTCCCTCTTCTTCCCGCTGATGGGAGGCGCGGCGTCCCCGCCTCTCTTGAGCGCCTCCACCTCCTTCCTCAACGCCTCTAGCGTCTGGGCTTGCTCCTCTATGATGCTGATCAAATGCTCCTTGGTCAGTGTGTCACCCTCAGACTGGCCCGTCTCCTGCGCCTCTCCACCGATTCCTTGCGCCTCATCGGACACCCGGGGCGCTCCTTCCGAGGGCGCCTCGTTGGGGCCGCGACCCCCTTCTCCCCCAGCTTCAGCCGCCTCTTCCATGAGCCCTTCCCCTTGCTTTCTCTCTCTCTTTTTCTTTTCTTTTCGGTTATATTCCCCTTCCTGGCGCGCCAATTGTTTGTGCCACGTAACCACCCTGTCAACGCGCTCCTCCTCCTGCACACAAAGACGCCCAGCGAACCCCCAACTGAGGGCTCGTTAGCACTCCGACGCCCAAGTCAGAACCACTTTCTAGAGAGAGAAGTTGTATATTAGTTTAGAGAGAAGTTGGAACCTGAGTAAATGAGCTCCACCCACTTCACTATTTATACCCGAGGGTGGGTCGACCAATCCCCTCCGAATCCGCCCTACGTCATCACCTCATTAAATGCACTGTACTTTGCTTCTCCAGGGCGCCCCGACATCCTGACACCAACCTACCGCGTCGAGGCGCCCGACCCCACACCTTGTCCCCTCCGTACGTTTCTGGCCGTTATCCTCCTTTGTCGCTATGCGCCCCTCTCCAGGCTTGGCCCCACCGCTCGGGCCTCAGTCCTTGGTCTCCCCTTTTTGGGCCTGGCCTCATCTTCGGCCCAAGATGGCCCCCTGGCTCTCTACTTGGGCCCTTCCTTCTCTGCTCCCCAACAATAATAATAAATAAATTAATGAATACACAACTAGAAACGACTTGTGGAGCAGATAACAACACTTTGGATAAATTAAGATTTAACGACCAAAGAAAAAAAAATGTAACCCATAGAAGGTAGAAGCCAGAAGGGAAGCATCACGCAAGCGGGCGGCAGCATAATTTGTAAAACAACATCATTAGCTGCCTGACGTATTATTATTAAACTTATATTAACTTACGGCGATCGTTAAGATAACAATATATTGACCGGAAGAAAATCTTGACTTTCGCTGATGTGACAGAAACGTGACATCCACGAGATGTCACGTCATCGATATGTTAATATTTTATTCAAAATTCGATTAAATTATAATTAGAATTATACAAAATTATCAGAAAATTAAAATAAAAAACCCCAATCTCCGGTCATGGCAGAACGCACCGATTTCTTTCTCTCCGAAGATATACTCTCCACACCGCGCTCATTTGTGCTCCATAACGTCTCTCCGACCAACAATCAGCGGCCACGACCCAGCTCTCCCCTAGATCCAGAGCTAGTATACCCTTTGTAAATTTTTGATTTTGGTGTTAGTTTCGGTACTCGTCGGGTTACGGAGCAATTCTCTCCACCTTTTTTCAAATGTGCTCCAGTGCTTTACCCTATTCTGAATCCGCCGCGGCCAACAATGATACTTATGAGTTGGGGTTGCCTCATCTGTCCCTCTACACCCGACGATTCACCCTTCATCGGCTGCATATCCAATTAGTCTGACGGTGATCAATACTGATGAATTAATTATCACATCAAACTACGTGCATGCATTTGACGAATTATAATGAAATTATTTGGGGATAGTGCCAATTAGCCTGACAGAGACTAGTAATGATGAAATAATGAAGTATGATCTAAGATAACAAAATAGAATAAAAACTTAAAGTATGTCGTTCATTGTCTTAACTGTAAACAAGTGAATTATCACATAAAAAACCGTGGGTGCTTACCAATCATGACATATAAAACTAAGTAATACTTGTGGGGATAAAACTAATAATTAACGCCGAAATATAAGGACAAAAGAACAAATTAACAGATATATATATATATATTTGTTGAACAAAAGAACAAAATAATTTCTTCTTCCTAGGTCTACACTGGAAACCTGGGACGAAAGATAAAAAATAATTTCTTCTTCCTAGGTCTACACTGGGAACCTGGGACGAAAGATACATATTAAATAGCCCACAAGGAGCACTGTTAATTTTTTCCCGTTTGGTGTTCCGTTTGGGTATTGATTTAGAATTAATACAATGAAAGAAAAGGAACCAATAGAGAAATTCCACCCAGACAGGCTGCAGGAACACCCTAGTCCCTACAACGTGGTTTGCAGGTAAACATTGTCCGAAATAAAAAGTCAAATGCATCAGCGTATTTCATATTACTTAATTAGCTTGGGTTTTCCGCCTGACGCCATCCTACAAACTTTTGTATTTTACCAATCATACAAATGCCAGGAAAACAATTCTCTGAATAAAGAAAACGTGTACTTACAACTTGTGGTTTTTTTTTTATGAATTTTGTAGGATGCTGTGGAGACTGGTGATTGCTCATGTGTGGAAGGAGCGCTGCTGCAGATGGTATGGAGATGGTGGCGCCTGCTCACCTCTTCGACTTGTGTCCCATATTAGAATTGAAATTCATTGTATAGGGTTAGTTAATCCGCAGGTCACTCCAATTATAGAATTTTTTTTTTCCAGTTTATAGAAGTTGATAGGTTGAGAGATAACAGTAAAACGAATGTAAAAACTGGTATGTTTTGAGAGGATCCCACGTTTGGGAATCCTAGGGCTAAATGAGAATGTTTTGATTTTCATAAAAAAAAAATATTGTCGCCCTTCATTTAGGGATGATAATTTGAACGCATTTTGTTGGGTATTTACTTTAATAACATTTTCCTTCTATAAGAATCTGGCGAGGATTTTCACTTCCTTCCAAGAAAAGCGCTATTAGTATAGGTTGAGTGTATGACAGCCATGTCCAGCCCTCCTTCTCATCGAAGCAACATCTCTATGGATAACTACCTTCTTTACCGTTGGAATCTAACTAAACTGCCTTATAATCTAACTTCTTGGTAAACATTTCTGAATTAATTCTACATAAATTCTCCACCCCTATTAGTTCTAAGATTCATGATAGAATTTTCCAAATTCTTTCTCTAATTGAGCTTTAATATTAAGGAGAAAAAAAACAGGCAAGAGTGTCAGGCTTGACTAACAAGAAATATGCCCACTCAGTAGTATACATGTTGGTTGTACCACTCAGAACACTCATTCTTATAGTATCTAAATCTGTGTCTCTTGAAACACTATGTATACCTTGTAGTGTCTAAATCTGTGTCTCTTGCTCAATCACTGTGTATACCTTGGTTACAGTTTGCAAATGAATTTTGGTACCACAATGAAATCATAAGTCGTGAGCAAACTGACACTTTATTCCATAGATCAAAGCAAAGCATAACTAAAAAAAAGTTTTTGTGTGAGCGAACTCGGCAATAAGCGCACACCAATGATCCCACATTTATGTAAATCAAACTGCCACTACTAACTGTGCTCAGCAAATCCAGCAGCAGCTAACTAACACAGACAAGTCTTTTTTTTTAGTGACTCAAACAACACAGTAAATAAACCAACACGACACAGTTTTGGACAACGACTTTCGAACTTTCTTCTTCTGGCGTCAATCTTCTTCAGCTCCGCCACCCCTTTGAGTTTGATTACGATGCATGCATGCATGCTAGATAGGAATCGAGTCAAGCAAGATGGAAGTGATGTGATCTTTCAGAGACCCTGAGTGTGTATACGAATCGTTGCGGATGTATATGAAGGTGATGATTCGTACGAGATCGAGGAAGTGCTGAATCACGGGCATCCCAACTGGAGTCGGTCTCATGCACTCCTCGTTCAAGTCCTTCCAGGCATCGTCGCACATCTTCTTGATCGCTTCCACGGCCTCTTCGTCGGACGCCCCATGCTCCTTCTTGTAACACTCGACGGCCGATGGACAGTGCCCTCTCTTCTGCTCATCCTCGTGGCTCATAATGTCGTTGAGAAGCCGGCCCAGGAGCTTTGCTGCTGTGTCAATGGCGGGGTTGGTTTTCAGCCACTCGTATTCTTCGGTCCCCATGGCTTCCCCCATTCCAATGAAGTAGGCAGCTGAAATCACGCCGTAGGAGCTTGAAGGTATGCCGTTTGCCATGAACTCTTTCACCGTTGGTGTGTAGCGATTCGCCAGCCATTTTGCCTCCGTGTCATATGCCCTCGCCAACTCCTTGAACTACTCGTACATACATAACGCGATTGAAAAAAAAAAAAAACGATCGAGTTAACTAACCAAGAAGCCAGAAGATCATGAAAACAAATCGATCGAGTTAACTTACAGCATCCTTGGCGTGGTGTGCGCTGTAGCATCTCCCCTCTTTCTCCATGTCCTGTTCCATTTCATCGCAAAGTCTAAGGAATGCCCTAAAAAGGAACTGCATGTCATCCGGAAGCTGCTCAATGGCTCCCTCGTCGTCGCACCTGAAAAACCATGCATGCAATATGCATGTTGTTATGACGAACAAGGGACTGGTTTAGTGGTAGGTAGATTCAAATTCCTTAAGCAATATCTGAATTGAATCACAAAAATAAACCTATATCACCCTTATAAAAAAAACGAATACGTGCGCGCGCGAATGTGTGCACAAATTAACCTCTCAAAAGCAGTAGTAAAGAGCTGGAGCTCTTCCGGGGTACCGTAGGCATCGTAAGTATCGTCGACCAGCGACACCATTTTGGCAAATTTGGTGGCTGCAACCCTCGAGACCACCTTGTGTGGCTCGTAATGAGACCCCGTGGCCCAAAAGTACAGCTCCACGATTCTGTCCCTCGCGTAAAGAAGCTTCTCTTGAAGACCGGTGTCCCTCCACCACCTGGAGACGAAGGCCAGCTCGTTCTGGTGCATCAGCTGCACGAAGTTGAAGTCGAGCTTGGCGAATCTGAGGAGGGTTTCGTCGACCCTCGATTCTTCTTCATCCGCGTAGAAGGAGATGAATCTCCAGGAGTCGATCCTCCGGGCGCTCTTGTGGAAGGGGCAAATCAGTGCGTTTTCAATGTGTGCTGCCAAATGAGGCTTAGTTGATGATGATGATGATGAGTACTCTTCCAGCTGATGCCTCGAGAAAGCTAGGGCTTCTTCGAGAATGGGCTCTCCATGAAGCCTCAAGTGGGAGGCCTCATACAGGCTCAGAATCCCTCTCACGTCGCCCCTCACACATTCCTTGAACTCTCCTGTCTTTACGTCCTTGAATTCGTCAAACACATCTGCGCATAATGGACGTGCATGCATGGTTAAGATTCATATTTAGACATATCCAACAACGCAATTCGAGTTATTGGGATTAGTTTGTTAGTTTATTAATTAATCGTTGTTTTGAAAGCAGCATAGGCATGTGTAAACTTCAATTTCATGATTCCTTTCAGATTTAGAGATAACCAAATCATTTAGCTACTATATATATCATAGTTAGCAAAATATGGTACGGGAAAGTTATGTATAAAATACGTACGGGTATTTTACTTCGTCTCTAATATAATGCTATGTTTAATAGACAGTTAATAGTATACAAAATTAATTATTTTTAAAAATAAATAAAAGTAAACTTAGCAATTTAAGTCATTAAATACAGATATTAAAGTGTTATACGGTTTTTATACGTGAACCATCAAATGAACGAACATAAATGAAACAACTTTATAAAAATACAGATACAGAAGTTTTAAATGAATAAAATACGTACGAGTACATATACGTGTATTAATGGAGTATTTACTCACTATGCTATATATATCATGTTTCCTTTTGCCACCAAACTTAGCAACCAGTAACATCGGTAACTAGAGCTCGATCGTTACTTTACTTACCACAGGGAACTCTGTATCCGTGCTGGCGTAGGACTCGAAACACCAGCGAAACGGAGTAGAGGTCATTTCTCCTCTCCGTAACATCGGAGAGAGATTGTTGGAAGATGAGCCTCAGTTGGTCTTCGATCTGAGCTTGAAAATGGTACGACACGCCAAGCCGCTCCAGCAAGTTGATGAGCTCGACGTTGCGAAACGGACCGTCGGCTGCTGAAGCCGCCAGCATCTTCCCCACCTTCGCCTTCGCCTGCTCCACCTGCCGCCGGTAGAATTCCATTTCCTGCCCGCCGATCAAACATCATGATCACCACGCTTATTAGATGCATGCATGCAGCAACGTAACGAAATATTAATTAAATTGTATTGAAAAAGAATATTATGTGGCCGGCCGGCCGGCCGGCGATATTACCGTAGGAGATGAAGAAAGCGAAGCAAATCTGTAACCCCATACAGACGGAGAGAAGTTTGCTAGTGGACGAGAGATGATCGTCTGCTCCATGGTGTCGCCGGTGCTTGACTTGGCCACCGCCGCCGCCGACGACTCTTCGGCTTTCAGTATTGCCATGAATCGTTATGTTTCACGACGACTGGGAATGCAAATAATCAATCAGGATATCAGTAGGCAGCTCTTTTTTTTTTTTCCTGATCAATTTGTTTCTTTGGCTTTCCTTTTTTTGTGTGTGGATGATGGCTATTGTTAGTCCTCTTAATGATGGTTTAAATAAGCGAAACTGTACACTTTTTTTTTTTTAGGGAACCTTCCATCTCTAAATATAATTTGTCCACTAGCCAATTGAATAATCTTTAGAATATAACACGTAATGTTATGGTCCCAACGTCCAAACTAGGTTGCCGCCCCTAGCTGCTGCCAGCATATGTGGCACCTTATGATTGGGACACATTACTTTTTTATTTTAATTGTTAACTAAAATTAGAAGGAGTATGGTACGGAACGGATCCAAGCTTCCGTTATATCACTTCAATTTTTTCTTTTAGAATTGAGGAACGGATCAAACCTTCTTTTCTCAATTTTTTCGTTTAATACATGTATATATAGTCATACATATTTTATCAGTTTAAAACTTTAATATCCATCATATTGTTAACCAATTTTATTTTATTTATTTGATGGCTCCCGTACTAAACGCGTATAAAATCCGTATAGCATATTTAAAATCCGTATAGGATGTACTAAACAAGAATAATTAGATTGTCTCCATACACGATTGTGTGAATGATATACTGCTTAAAGAAATAGTAGAATCAAAATTTTCACCGGTTGAACTAATAATTTAACTTTGAGCTACTGCCGCTTGGAGTAAATCAAAAGCCTAAGTAAAATAATGTTTATAATCATGGTTATCACATCACTGGAATGTCGACTGGTTGAACCTGGTCTAACTGATGTCAGTCATGAAACCAGTGTGCATAACACCAATATGACCAACATGATGCATTTACGACCTCTAAGCAAAATGACGTTGTTTTAGTGAATTTAATTAATACAACAGTATTTTATAATTTTTTATGCTTTTTAAAGTTAAATGTTAATGTTATTTCAAGTATAATCATTTAGGTATATATTGTATTTAAATATGAATATTTATTATTTTATTTGGAATGTTGTATTTTATTTAAATATAAATATGGATTATAATTAAATTGTCTTCAAAATTCAAATATTTTTAAATATGATTAAATAATTAAATTCATTTTTTGTTAATTGACTTTTCACATTTCTACATAATTTTGTTAAACCGCCATAAACTGATACAAATCGGTTGTATCACCATTCGTACCATTCCACTTGCTAAACTTGCACAACCAGTTCCACAAAGTTATTTGTAAAAACGATAAATACCTAAAGGGAAATTCCTAGTTCTAAAAGTTAATTATAATAATGCAAGTTATTTTAGTTGTTAAATCTCGCACTTGTTAATTGGAAAGAGAAAGTGACGGAAGCTTGGATCCATTCCGTCCCATACTCCTTCTTTTTAGTTAACAATTATAATAAAAAATAATTTTTACCCAATCAAAAGATGCCACATGGGCTGGCAGCAGCTAGGGGCGGCAACCCAGTTTGCCGCTAAATAGGGGAAAGAGCATAGAATAAAATTTAAGTTAAATTTGTATTGATATATCTAAAATAAAAAAAAGAAACGAATAAATCCAGAATACAAAAAATACAAAAGAAAGCATTAAAGTAATTACTAAAATGTATCCTAGTTCCCAACAAATACATTATGGATGGTCGGATGCTTAAACTAATATCGTTGATTCCTGCGGCCGGACCACCGTCTTTATTATAGTAATCCGAGCTGAATGATACTGAAATATTGTAAAACTATGTATCGGAAAAGTCTGTGCTAGCTAGCGTATTTATGCTTCTATCCAACAGGTTTAATCGTTTCATATCGCTAAAAATTATTTATTGGTTTAGATTTCAATAGAATATTTTTTCATGGTAATACCATACCTTGACACTTGAGTTAGATTTTGATGGTCAACTATAGAAGGAAACTGTTGTGCATATACATAGACAGGGACGTATACATTTAATATTATGGTACAACCAGGGGCGGAGACACAGTAGTGGCACACCCTTGGATCGGGGCTAAAATATAAAAAAATAGGGGTATTAGTTTATGCTATAGCTAGGATTTGAACATGGAACCCCCTTACTATTAGCTTTGACATCTTCCACTAAACCACAATTACTTACATGATAAACTAATACGTTTTATTGCATATATATAATTTACTGTTTACAAATAATAAGTAAATTAAATTAAAAAACCTCATAATTACATATGCTTATTCAAGAAGTAAACAAAAATTTAACCCTAACAAGCGAGCTTCTTGATAGTCTTGATGATGAATGTATTTTACAGACTTTTCAAAATATGAGAACCCGCCGTGGGTCACTATAAAATATTGATAATCATTTTAATTTTTTTAAATTGGCACCCCCTACCCAAAATCCTGGCTACGCCACTGGGTACAACTTTAAGTTGTACATTAAAACACCAATACTATATAACATAGTAGAAGTGATATTCCAACACATATCAATTCTTCGTAATTATTTCTACTTCCCCATGAATTTTGTCAACATCAATGAATTGATTTTTTTCAAGTGACGACGAAATTAAAGTAGAATCCAATAGCTTTATCACTCACCAAAATAAATAAAAACCCCACAAATTCCCAACTCTTCAAGTTGCCAAGAGAGAGTCAACAGGATGTGGTCATCGACGGATACCTGGTTCCGGCAGGGACCAAAGTCATGGTCAATGCGTGGGCTATCGGGAGAGATTCATGGTATTGGGATGATCCCGAGACGTTCTATCCAGAGAGATTCATGAACTGTTCGATGGATTACAAGAGAAAGAATTTCGAGTTCATTCCTTTTGGTTCGGGGAGGAGAATGTGGGCCGGGATTTCCTTCGGATTGGCCACCGTTAAACTTGGATTAGCTAATTTACTTTATCACTTCGACTGGAAGCTCCCGAGTCCCGACTGTGTTGAAGCCCGAAGATCTAGATATGTCGGAACGGTTTGGACTTGCTGTACGCAGGAACTGCCCGTTATGCTTGATTCCCGTTCCATACAAGACTGTGTCGTCCTAACTTCCTTTGTCTCAGCTCCTTCTAGTGTCTTTGGTTTCTGATTTACTTTGTTTGGTAATTGATTCTTCTTGTTTTGTCCTTTCAACGATGGTGATTTCTAGTTCCAAGGAGTATAGTACCCTTAACCTTAAGAGTAGGCTATACTCTCTTGAATTTTGTTTACAATGTTTCAAATGTTGTTTGGAATTACATTTTCTTGGATTATGTTCTATCACTAGGATCTTTATGTAAGTGTTTTGAGTTTAATAAAATAACTATTATCATTTTGAGAACAACCTGTGATTTCTCTTTAGAGATCGGAGTTTCTATGTTTTAGCGACCGTATCTTTTAATTATATTGGCGGCGAAGTCTAGTAATGCACAACTTTAGCAATAGCAACGTCAACCTTTATTCCTACTGCACATCCGAGATGTTAAAGGTATTGGTTGCGGTAAGATGTTCACAACCAAATATCTTTGTTTATTTAACGAGGACTGAATCAGTTGGGAAGAATATTATGTGACCAAATTTATTGATTTTAAATAGTTTATTTTGTGACTTTATCGTCTTACAAGTACAAAGAAATGAGATTTTGTTTCACATGCTTCAAAGAAGACGTCTTACAAGTACAACTAAACTTTTCTGAGACGTTTTGCATCGTACGAGTGAAGTTTGTTGGACTATATTGTAAACTAGAATTAGTTTAAGGACCATGTTGTAATATTTGTTTATATTTGTCTACTGTTTTGTTATTTTCTTATTTACAGTTTGTATATATTGTATTAACGAACAATATAAATTTACTTTTTATAAAATAAAACAAGTAGACTCGTTCTCTCTCATCATGGTATCAAAGACTTTCTAGACTTTTCTTGGCGTTTCGCTTTCTTTCTTGCTTTCTTCCGCTTCTCTCTTCGCTTCCATGGCCATTGGTGCCAGCAGGCAAAGGCAGGTAAACGAGGTAATCCATAAACGGATATATTGTCCGCAATAGTCATCGACAGCATTAGGCCATTGCTGCCTGCATACTACTACCTATGGTTAAACGATAACTAGTACGCTATGAATTGTGATACAGATTACCAGGCTCTTTGCACTCCGTTTTCAGTTCTTATGTGTTATATTTGGGGACAGGGCTGCAGTTAAGGTGGATAAATTCTTGATAGCCTCACCGAAAGTGATAGTCAAACCGGAACCGCCAATAATGGTGAGCTCTTTTTCTCTTTGTCTCTCTTCCCATCATTTTGATATGCTCTTATCTACTGATTTATGTACCGTTAGACTGGACTCTGTTGGGATTCATTGTTGCAGAAGGTGCTTACACTAGGATGGCCCTTATTAGGTTTGCTTACAGAACGTGTCTCGCACAATTAATTTGAAAGTTTGGGAGGGGGGAGGATGCATTTTCGCATTCCACCAGACCCCTTAAACAAATTTACGCTATTTATATAATAATTACTCATAGTTATACCGAACCTCTGGGAACGGCAAATGGAGAGCAAGATTGCAGCGCCACCCATACGAAACAGGCAATTATTAGGAAGCAATAGGGCAAGTAACGCCCCAAGTTGGAGTTGGGAGAGAATAGGGCAAGTAACGCCCCAAGTTAATCGATATCATCCCGGCGGTGCACCCCATCCCTGACAAGTTAAAGCTCTTAACATTGCTCCTCAGCTTGTACTTGTTGACCACCACGGACGAAAGCCACGACGTGGGAGAGAACAGGCTTTCGTATTATGCATTTTTTAAAATGAGTGTTAGTGGTGAATTTGGTACTGTTTTGACTAGATTTTAGCCTACATAAGGGCATAGCGAGTGATGTGGGTATTGATTTCATTTACATAAATGGAATACGGTATGTTGGGGGAATTCTATGGTGTCGTGACAGCACCCATGCCTTCACTTAGCTGGCCGGTTCACCCAAGGTTGATTTCGGTTGAATTTGTTTTATCGGGGAATTGGAAAGGGGGGAAAAAATCAGCAACCCTTTGACTTTTCTTTTGTTCTTGTCTTTCTCCTTCCTCTGAAGAAAACTCCGTCGCCGGTATGTTGGGTGGAGTGCATCTATTGGAATTTGTTAAAGAATGGTTGGACGATCAACTTTGAATAGAGTTTGTTCATGGCTATTATTTTTTTTATATAATTTGTGAGAAACAAAATAGTTTTGTTGGTATAGATACTCAACTTGTTGTTTTAGGAATTTATAAGAATTAATGGAATGTCTATAAAAAGGCTTTTTAATTTCTCATGGATCCATCTCATCCTCACTTTGTTTCCTTTCCTCAGTTACATTTGTTATGATGGATCCATCTCGTCCCCTTTAATCTATATATTTTAACTTCGAGCACTACTACTATGCTATATAGTATTGGTGCTTTAATGTGCAACTTGAAGTTGTACCATAACATTAAATATATAAGTTTAGGTTGTACCATAAAGGAATTTGTATCATTATGTTATGGTACAACTTTACAACTTGAAGTTGTACCATCACATAAAGGTACAAGTTCAAGTTGTACCATAAAAGAATCTGTACAAAAAGTATAGGTACAATCTGAAGTTATACCATAACGTTAAATGTACAATTTCAAGCTGTACCATAAAGACAAAAACTTATAGCACCAATACTATATAGCATTATAAAATTACTCTTTAACTTCTACCATGTTTCATCTCCATATGCATCTAATGATGAGACATAAGATGCACCATCTCCTCTTAGTCCATTCATAACTTCTCATATGCATCTCCATTCTTTTTAAATGATGGTAATTTCTCAATGCCCATGTTTCTAAATCCAAGCTTCCAATATTTTCAACAAAATTATCCACCATATAATGTTCCTAATAGAGTCTCCAAGTCTCTACCAAACCAATCTCCAATCACTACATTTGATCCCACTGAACGTGATTCTCGAATTCCTAGGGAATAAGGCATCTCAAGCCTAGAGGGGTAAGCAGAAAATGATGAATCATTAGACTAGAATTAACAAAAGTGTAGCAAAGGTCGTTTGTTTCTATGAACAAGTCCAACATCGAAAGAAAAGTGACATAATCGAGGAAGATAAAAAGAATAGGGTGTTGATTTAATATAATCAATTGAATGGTAAACCTTTTAATTATAAGCATGGTTGGAAAGTCTTAAAGGATGAAGATAAATGAAATAGTCAAATCGATGGTCATAATGGATCAAATGTCAATATACTGCATCATTATAAAATGCAAGCATATATTCAAACTGAGGTGTCAAAATTGTGTCTAATCCACATCCCATAAGAAGGAAAGCTTTAATTGAAGAACAATAAGAAGAAAACATATATGATATCTAACTCAGTTGAAGGCATACAAGCTGTAGTGCAACAAAAAATCAACATTGAAGCAGGAAAATCGGAATTGATGAGGGAGTTCATGGCTGCGAAGATCAAATTACAAGAGGAACGGGAGATGAAAAGAGAAGAAAGATCGAGGAAAAAAGAAACATAGAGACAACAAATGTGACTGAAAGTAATGGAAATGAATTTACCAATGAAAATAGAAGCCTAAAGAATGTTATATGAAAGGAAAATTCACCAGCTATTGAAAGACGAGTGATTTCATTTTATGGATTGGATATTGTTGTTGTTTTCCTTACATGTATTTTTATTTTGTTTCAAGCCACCATTCTTATCAAGGTTTAAGAAAGCGTGCCTATGCACACACCAAGGCTTAATCAAGCGTTAGGCGATTGAAGAACACTTTGCCTTGGGCATAAGCGCTGAACAAAGAGATGGGCACGCTTAAGTTTAATCAATAGAGCCTAAGTGGCGCTGAGTGAAAGTAAGTGGCCGCCTAGGATCGCTAAGTTATTGCTAGGCACTATCCATCTTAACCTCAACGCTGTTGTTTCCATCTCTCATTACTAGCTAGGTTTAAAAAATGGGAATTAATTGGTCCATTGGAAATCGATACCCACATTTGGAGAAAACCAACAACCTTCATCGTCCCTCTTTCTCTCCCAGGATCTAGCTGCTACTCCTTCGCCCTTCGTCCCACTTCTTCTTCCAGGCCCCAGCTGCTATTTCTTTGTCCTTCGGTTGGCTGGCGCTGATAGAGAAACTTGGAGGAGCTCATCTTTCGCTGAAGTTGGTAAGTCGTCTACCTCTCTCTGCTTCTTGGTCGCTGCATCTTGCTCGCCACCATGAATTATAGAGGGGGAACTGGTGGTTGGATGGGCATGGGAGCTTTGATCATCATCATTATAGAAGAGAGCTAGTACTTTTTGGTCACTTCACTTGCTCAAAATATGTTATCTTTTAGCTGATATGTGCTGTAGAATACGAACCCACTTACTAGTTTCCAACTTAGTTTTCTAAACATCATATGCCTCTTCATTCATGATTTGTTTTGAAGATTTAGTTAAACCTCTGCAGCTAGCTAGACTAGAATAATTAATTGTGGAACCTGAAATAATGCTAGGCTATTAGTATATATATATTAGGCAGTAGGGATGCTTATCCTTTATGTAATAATAATTTACCAATTGTTTATTAATTTGTTTTCGATAACATGTTTATTCTAAAAAGGATTATGCTAATGCTTCCGCCACAATAGTGACAAATGAAGAAATACCAATGCTTTTAAGAGGAAATTTGGTGATGTAGGTTGGTTATATGTGAGTTAAATGCACCAAGGCCACACAAGAAGCTAAAGAAGCATGCTTGAAAGCCATTGAGAAAAATACAAAAAAAGAAATGAAGATAAGGCTTCCCGAGAATGATAATTAAGAGATGATGTGATTGTTTCCTCTGAACAACAAGATGAAGAAATGACTTGTGTTGCTAGCTCAGAACCTCACAAGTTAGGGATTAGGGACAAGAGAGTACGTACTATTGATCCTAAGTAATCTTCATTTGCATCACTTCATCAACAAAAATTAAACAAAGTACTTTGGGAAGAGAGAACACTTCAAGTGCAACAATATGTTGCAAGATGGCTGCATACACATAGTAAGCAATATGTTTTAAATTCTATTTAGTGTATCTTCCTTTTTACAATTGTGGGATTAACTTGTGTGCTTATTTTT